AGAAGATTTTTAGACATACAGAATGAAAGAGTGATGGGGTAGAGGAGGCTTGTGTTAAGGTTCCAGAGAAAAGCTGGTGACGTCAGGCAATGTGCGGAAGGGTCAGACCTCAGGCCAGAAGCTCCAGTGACCTATGTGTGATCCAGAAATATGGAATGTGTGCTGTAGGCATTGAGTGGATACAGCCCAAGAGAGAACCCATGAGTGCTACAGAAAGCAGGGCCATAGGGCAGGGCCACCCAACCCTGTTGGGGCATGGGTGATGCCACTATGTGCCCCATATTTGAACATGGAACATGAACATGGATTTACTATTTATCCAGACAAAGATTAATATTGATCTTGCTTTGGTCCGATCTTTCCTATCTGTGACCCAACATTTCCCTTTTGGGATGGGAATGTTGCATGTGTATCATTGTATATTGGAAAAATATATTTTGTTTTTTGATACAGGGGTCCACATTTCAGAGTTTGTCTGAGTCTCAGAAGAGATTTTGGACTTAATTTTTTAAATTGCATTTGATTATTTATATTTGGTGTGTGTGTGTATGTGTGTACATGCATTTATGTGGAGGGGCACATGCATGTGCCATGGAGTGCATGTTGAAGGCAGAGGATAACTTGAGGGAGTCTGCTCTCTCCTTCCACCATGTAGGTCCTAGGGTCAGCTTGGATACAGGCACCTTTACCTGCTGATCCTGAGACTTTGGACTTTTGAACAGTGTTACGATATAAACATTGTGACTTGTGAAGTTGGATTAAATACATTTTGATGACTATAAGCCTTCGGGGGAGGGGGGGCAGAGGTACAGTGTTACAGTGAAATATTCCTCATGAGGTTTGAATGCTCAGTCCCACCTTAATGGGCCATTTTGAAGTTGGCGGAATCTTTAGAAGGTGGGACCTGGTGGGTAAAAATCAGTCATTAGGTGTGGCCATTTCAAAGTTACACCTACCCTTGGTTCCGACCTGCTTCTTCCCGTGTGTACCATCCTGCTCCCACTGCAAAGGGTGGGGCTGCTTCTGTGTCTCTGCCTCCTTTAACTTGAACTTGACAGGCTGAACCCTCTGAAATCATGAGCTAAAATACACCTCATCAATCATCTCTGTCAGAAGTTTGGTCACACAAGCCAGGAACATAATTCATTGACAGTGCATTTTGTAGCATACACAAGGCCCCAAGTTCAACACCCAGCACCACCAGAGAGAAAAGAAAATAGCTTACATATACAATGTATGTGGGAACTAGTTACTGTGTCCTAGACTGGAAATTTATAGAGTAGATTTTACATGGCCTTACCACAAAAAAATAAAGGTGACTGTGTGTGAGGGTAGGTATGCTAATTTTTCTTGGCTTCTTTATATCAACGTACCATGTATATTATCAACATATGCAATTTTTAAAAATTTAAGGACTGGGGATGTGGCTCCGTAGTTGAGTGCATCCATACAAATATGATAAGAGAAAAAATAACATAAATTCCTTCTACACTTGAAAAGGTTTATTTAATGTGTGTGTGTGTGTGTGTGTGTGTGTGTGTGTGTGTGTGTGTGTGTATGTGTGTAATGTGAGTACCTACAGAGTCCAGAAAAGGGCTTCAGATCCCCTAGTTCTGGAGTTACAGGTGGTTGTGAGCAGCCATGTGCATGTTAGGAGGCAAACTCTGGAACTCTGGGATTGCAGCCAATGCTCTTAACAGCTGAGCCATCCCCCCACAGTCTTATGGTACGTCATACTTAACGCGGTGTCTTTAATAGTGTTCCTACTGCTGTGAAGAGACACCATGACCACGGCAACTCTTATAAAGAAAAACATTTAATTGGGGCTGGCTTATACTTTCAGAGGTTTGGTCCATTATCCTCATGGCAGCATGTAGGCAGACATGGTGCAGGAGAAGGAACTGAGTTCTACATCTTGATTCGCAGGCTGCAGAAGCAACTGTAGGCCACATACTAAGCCAGCTTGAGCATAGGAGACTTCAAGGCCCACCCCCAACGGTGACACACTTCCTCCATCAAGTCCACACTTCCTAATAGCGCCACACTCTGTGGGGCCATTTTCTTTCAAACCACCACACCCCGAGTATCTTAACTGGATACATCACGAGGGATCGATAATCACTCTGAGCTCTCCTCCCATACCTGGAAAACTTCTGCAGACACAGCTCATTTCCACTGTTGCTTCTGAATTCAAAGCCGATTCCTTAGCAACCGATGTGCTGCTGCACCGGTATCAATGCAATTATGGCACAAGGGAGGGAGGTCGCCTCGTCCTCAGAAGTGGCGCAGCGATGTCTGCACACTTTAAAAGTCTCTCTTACGAGCACCATAAACCAAAAATTTCCCCAGCAATTTGCAGAAAAAAGATTAGCACGGGCTGGACAGTGGTTCGGGGGGAAGCCCTGTATGATGTGGCATTGACAGGGAGG